GGCCACTGCACTCTAGTCTGAGCAACAGAGTGAGACTCCAACTCAAAAAAAAAAAAAAAACAACATAAAATGTACAATTAAATGGATTAGTATACGCAAAGAGTTATATAACCATCACTTCCATCAATTTTAGAACATCTTCACCATTCCAAAAAGAAACCCACCCATCTATGTACTTTCTTTCTCTACAGATCTGCCTATTCTAGACAAATCTGACATCAGCTTTAGTCATTCCCTGCCCCAATAATGAGCAGGTTACCCCATTACGTCGATTACTTCCAGTGCCTTTCCATGCCTATGACACTTAATTCAGGCACTATCTTTTAGCCTAGTTCACTTACTATATTTACTTAGTATTAATAATTACCAACTTATCCATCTCATTTATCCTGTACAATACTATTAGAGATTCCCCCAAAACATTCAATGGTTTCCCACTATACAGAGACAAAAATTCACACTCCTTAGTTTGGCACTCAAAATCTACTATATTCAACTCCAAACTACTTTTCTAGCATTATCTCTCTCTCTTGCACCATTCATTCCATGCTTTAGTCATATTGGATTGTATAAAAAATGTATAGCATGTGTCACATTTTATAGTTTTTAGTTCCTGGGCAGAATTGTCAAGTTTGGCTTTTATATTGGATTATACATTTTTATACAAACCATTTTCTGCATTTGTAAATGCAGAATCCATATTCTAAATTCTTTCCTAAAACTGGGATACAAAATCCTATTTTCACAATTGAATGGTATTTGTCATCAAAAGGATATAGAAACTGAAGAAATCCTGTTCAACTGGTTGGAAAAGGCCTTTGGGCTGGGGCACAGAGCAGCAGCTGGAGTCAGTATCAGTTCTCCCAACAAGTCCATGCCAGCCACATCATCAGGGATGAAAAGTGTCACTGGATGTCCTAGCACAGGGTGAATTCTGTTGCAGCATGATTCAGTTATACCAAATTTTGGTCTACTATCAGAAAACAGACAAGACAAATTTAACTTTTTCCCCTCTTAAATTATTTAAAAGAGCATCCAAAATTCTTTTATACCTTTTAGCATATGCATAATCATATAGCCCACCATATCATTTTGTTGGAATAAGTAACTTATGCTGTGATCAGGAAATCACAGCAATGGAAAGAGCAGAAGAAAAATTAGCGTTACAGGGTATGGCATCATGGCCCCTGCTTTAGCTGCCATTAATGGCAAGTTCTTATTCTCAAAAGTTATTTCCTTCACAAAAATTACTCTGTGGCTATAAGAAGAAGTTTCTAAGATCATTCAAAGATCAGCATTGTGTGAAGAGGTACATAGATGACAAATGGTCTAAAATTGATCCTATGGTATTTAGAAGTCTGCTCTCCCACATGCTACATCTTTCCCTGCAGAGTCTGAAGTTACTATTCAATAACAACAATGAGAAAAAAAAAATCAGGCCATGTTCCTCTCTTAAAAATAATCCAGTAAGATTTTGTGCTTGTTTACTTTCCAATAGCTCTTTTTTCCAAACAAAGAAGAAATATTAATGAACCTTTTCTGCTCTCTCTAAATTAATCAGGTCATCCAGGGAAACATGTCCACAAACATTGGCTCAAAGGCTTAAACTCTTGTCAGTAAAACTATGATGCTGAGCCATCTACCTGTATAATATTGTATAATATTAGAGGATCACTAAAGAAAGATATGAGGTAGAGGTTTTGTTACCTGTATATTAAAGAATAAAAAATATTGTCATCTGAGGTATAATTTTGGGTTAGAATAAGAAAATAAACTAAAAACTGTGGGTAGATTCTTCAAGTCTTGCGAGTCTGTAACTTCTGGTGTTGACTCAGGGCATACAAAGACAGAAACCACTGACTAAAGAATAAATTAGGGCTGGGCATAGTGGTTTGCACCTGTATCTCAGTACTTTGGGAGACCAAAGTGGGAGGATCGCTTGAGACCAGGAGTTTAAGACCACCCTGGGCAACATAACTGAGATCCCCATCTCCACACATGCAGTTTTTTTTTTTTTATTAGCTGGGTGTGGTGGTGTGCATCTATAGTCCCAGCTTCTCAGAAACTGAGACCGGAGGATTGCTTGAGCCCAGGAGTTCAAGGCTACAGTGAGCTATGATCGCCCCCACTGTACTCCAACAGAGTGAGACCCTGTCTCAAAAAATATATATAAATAAATAAATAAGTTGGATTTATTTTTGTTAGGTCTTTTCTTGATATAATTCATGTTCACTTTGGATTCTGTGGTAGCTGAATAACATAGGAAGGCAAAGCAGGAGTATTCTGTCTGTTCCTTATTATTTATCACCTCCTTCATAGATTTGTACTTTTTTTGGAGTCTGAGGAAAGTGAAGGTGGGTAGAGAGATGATTTCCAAACCTATGCAAAATGCTGATGCATAAAAAATAATATACAACGAGTACCTTTGTATTCATACTATTTCTCTAGCCAAGAGTTCAAACAAACTTTTAAATTCAGTCATCTCTTCTCATGACTAAATGGGATTGGAATTAGCAAGGTTTGTTTCATTTCACTTACAGAAAAAAATAACGTATAGAGAGGAGAAGGCCCGTGTCCTTAAATCAATTAGAATATATTCAAGGAGGCTGAGCACCATGGTTTATGCCTGTAATCTCAGCACTTTGGGAGGCAGAGGTGAGAGAATTGCCTAAGCCCAGGAGTTCAAGACCAGCTTGGGCAACTTGGGAAGACCTTGTCTTTAAAATAATAAAAAAAAATTTAGCTGGGTGTGGTGGCACACTTCTGTAGTTCCAGCTACTTGGAAACTGAGGCAGAAGGATTGCCTGAGCCCAGCAGGATGAGGCTGTGGTAGCCATAAGTGTGCCACTGCACTCCAGCCTGGGGGACAGAGTGAGACTCCAAGGAACCAGGAATAACAACAGTTTTCAACATAAATAACTTATAAGTTTTACATATACTTTTATTACAGAGAAGCTGACACCTGGCACTTAGAAATAATAAGTGAGACCATTTCCAATTTCTACCCACATTCATACTCATAAGAAGAGAGTAAAATATGGAGAGGGACAACAATGTTTTTTGCCTTCACCTCACATAATGCTGACAGTTTACAACAAGAGCAATTCCATTCGACAGGTTCAAAATGGGTTCATTCTCCACCCTGTAAAGCAAAGCAGTGCTAAGCCATCTCTCAAAGATTCCAAAATCAATCTCTGCTTCATACAAATCTTGGCCTATGACTACTACCACCCTAGAAATTATTGGAATTCAGTAACTAATTAACAAAGGGAAAAATGGCAATTTTTAATTTCACTCCCTCTAGAGAAAGACATGAAAGGTTTAAATGAGTTTATTTACTCCTTAAAAGCTAATACAAGCTGGGCTGTGGCTCAGCCTGTAATCCCATGCCTTTGGGAGGCTGAGGTGAATGGGTTGCCTGAGCCCGTGGGTTCGAGACCCGCCTGGGCAACTTGGCGAGACCTCATCTCTACAATAAATCAAAAATTAGTCAGGCGTGGTAGCGCACCTGTAGTTCCAGCTACCTGGAAGGCTGAGGCGGAAGGATCACCGGAGCCCAGCAGGTCGAGGCTGTGGTGGCCGGGAGCGGCCACTGCACTCCAGTCTGGGTGACAGAGTGAGACTCCAACTCAAAAAAAAAAAAAAAAAAAAGCTAATACACCCTTTAAAAATTGTGTGTGGAGAGGTCTTAGAAAAAGAGTTTCAAGGTAACTGTGGGTCAGGAAATCAAACTGTGAAACTATTGGAAATAGGGTAATAATGGCTGAGAAAAATTGCAGAGCCATAGCATCATCTTAAACCATGAACTTAAGAACTTACCCAAAGATCTCTGTGGAGAGGATTCCATTTATCTTTACATTGAAATTAAATCTGATCTACAAAACAATAAATGAGGCATGAGATTTAACATGAGCCAAGATAGCAATTAAAAACTTCCATTCTCAATCCCAAAGGAAAATAATATTTTTAAAACAATTGTTTTAATTAATATTACTTTTAATCAGCAGTATAATTGTAGATATCATGGGGCACAATGTATTGCTTTGATATATGTACACAATGTGGAGTGAATAAATCAAGCAGATTAACATACAAGGGGGGGACCTAAAAAAAACCAGGATTATTTTTAGAGAGCAGGTCCTTGTAGTATACTCAGTTTTGTTCCTCCATATCAAACAGTCAACCAAAGTTTTTATCTGGAAGTTTTGAGAAAGTTGCATCATGATTTGTGAAAGAAACATCCCAAGTTGTGGCAAACAGGTGACTGGTTCTTCTACCATGACAATGCAACTGCCCACATTATGCTGTGTTCAGCAGTTTTTGAACAAAACCAACATGACTCCTATGCCCCTCTCTCCCTATTCACTCAATCTTGCCCCAAGCAACTTTTTTTTGTTTCCCCAATGAAAAAAGTTCTCAAAGGGAAATGTTTTGCCGATGAGGAAGAGGTGAAACAAAAATAGCAGAAGCACTAAAAGGCATCAAAATTGGTAAGTTCAAAAACTGTTTTGAGCAGTGGGAAAAGTATCTCAATAGATAGGTGTATTGCACCAAGCAAAGAGTACTTTGAAGGTAAATGAAGTTTAAGCATGTAAGAATAAATACACACTTTTTTATAAATAAGTTCCTGGTATTCTAGGGTTTCCTCTCATACCCATCACCTAATTTACTAATCATTTTTTGTTGGGAGACATTTGAAATTTACTCTCAGCTATTTTGAAATATACATTGTTATTGACTGTAGTCACCCTGCTGTGCAATATATCTCAAAAATTTATTCCTCCTGTGTAACTGAAACTTTGTAACTTTTAACCAACAGCTCCCCATTTCCTTCCTCACTCCTTCCCCTAGCCCCTGATAACCACCATTTCTATTCTCTATTTCTATGATTTTGATCTTTTTAGATTCCACATATAAGTGAGATCATGTGGTATTTGTCTTTCTGGGCCTGTTTATTTGAATGGATAAAGAAAATGTAGTATATACACGCAATGAAATATTATTCAGTCTTTAAAAAGTAGAAAATCTTGTCATTTGCAACAACATGGATGAACCTAGAGGAAAAAGATATTCTTAATCACCTTTTTTCACTTGAACTTTCCCAAAACATACTTAGTACTTGCCTATGTTCAAATTCTAAATCTTAAATACACTGAGCCTATACTACAGTTCCAAGTAGTTACGAATTATCAGGAAATCCTGTCCCTTTGCAGTTCTCCCAAGCTATCCCTCCACCTGTTTTTTAAAGGAACTATTCATTTTTATTTCTGTTATTTTCATACATGGAAAATTCCATGGTTTATTCTTTGCTTTTTCTTCCCCTAATCCCATCTAACTTGTATGTCCTCTCCAATTTACATCACTATTCTAATTATTCCTTACTGTAACTTACATTTTTCTTTCTGTGTAACAAAAAGGATTCTAGAGCTAGATTGCCTGAGTTCAAACCCTGACTCTAAGTTATTTAACCTCTGTACCATAGTTTTCTCAGCTACAAATTGGGGATGATGATGATAAAACCTACTTCACAAGGGTATTATGCAGATTAAATGAATGGGTACATAGAGAGCACTTACAATAGTGACTGACAAACAATAAGAAAAAAGTAGGAAGATAGCATAAGAAAAGGAGATGTCATATGACATACTTAACTGTGTTCATCTTTATAAAATAACTACAGATAATAAAAGTTTTAGCTCTCTAATATTAAAAATATTTTATCAAGATTTCCTTATTTGTTCTTACAGTGACTTCAAAAAAGGAGATAAACAGCAAAGTTTTTTATCTAGGTTTAACAAAAGAATGAAGCACAGAGGAGGGAAAAGAGGTATCTAAAGTGATGCAATCAAGGAGTAAGAAAGTGAAACTAAGAAACCAAAATAAAGCTCTCTCTATATCTGAAGAGTTCTCAGCTATATCCTTAACCAACATTAAGATTACCTTTAGAACACAGAAACCAAATCACTTTAATACTAAAAGTTTCAATCATCTTCACTGAAAGAAAGAGAACTAATCATATCCTTCCATGTCTTACAATGTAGAAGTCTCCTAAAAAATACATAACTCAAATAAGAGAAACATTATTAAGCAAAAAACCAGCTTACCTTAGGGTGCACCATGATGATTTTAAGTAAAAAATGCTTTATAACCAGACAATCTGTCATCAAAGTTCTGGAATTTTCATCAGCCTGTGACAACACAACAAAAACACTCACACAAACGCAAAAGCACAAACGAACTAAATTATGGTACTTCTTCCTATAAAATAACTATGCCTCAGAAAGCTTTTTGGACATGTGAGGGGAAACATCTTCGGGAATGAGAACTGTACACAAAAGGGAATCTAAATAGTAATCACTTTTTTCTTTTCTTTTTTTTTTTTTGAGTCAGAATCTCACTCTGTTGCCCAGGTTGGAGTGCAGTGGCATGCTCATGGCCACCATAGCCTTGACCTGCTAGGCTCAAGCGATCCTTCCATTTCAACCTTCCAATTATCTGGAACTACAGGCATGCACCACCATGCCCAGCTAATTTTTTTGATTTATTGTAGAGACGAGGTTTCATCAAGTTGCCCAGGTTGGTCTCAAACTCCTGGGCTCAGGCAATCCTCTCGCCTCTGCCTCCCAAAGTGCTGAGATTAGAGGTTTGAGCCACTGCACCCAGTTTATAGCCATCACTTCTTGGATTAGAGTACCTATTACAATGACCTTGACACATGAACAAAGATCAGAGTAAAACCTGCAATGTCAAAACCACCTTTTGGGCAAATTTAAAAGTAATTCAGACTAGAGTTGAGAAGTATAATTCTACTATCCTAGTGTGCTTTGGAACAATCATATTAAGAATCTGAGCAGAGCTAGGCACAGTGGCTCACACCTGTAATCCCAGCACTTTGGGGGGCAGAGGCGAAAGGACTGCCTGAGCCCAGGGGTTCAAGACCAGCCTGGGCAATTTGGCGAGACCTCGTCTCTACAATAGATAAAAAAATTAGCCGAGCATGGCGGCATCTACCTATAGTTCCAGCTACTTGGAAGGATTGCCTGAGGCAACCAAGTCAAGGCTGAGGTGGCCGTGAGCATGCCACTGCCCTCCAGCCTGGCCAACAGAGTGAGACTCTGACAAAAAAAAAAATGACAACAACAACAAAAAATAATCTGAGTAGAGTCAAAAAAGCAGACATTAAAGAAACCTATTTTTGACATCAATTCATTCATCTAAATATTTATCTATAGGAAAAAGAAGATGTGTGGTCTAGTACTGGTTCTGTAAAAAAATTACATAGGCAATCATGAAAAAAAATCAGTTCACTGCTCTGGAAAACAAGGATAAAACCTATCCTTTCTACCTCATGGAATTATTTTAAGGATCCTTATATATGCGCAAATATATATGACAACAATAATATATACCACCTACTGAATGCCTACTATGTGACAATCATTGTGCAAGTGCTATGTATACACTACCTCATAAAAATTCTATAAGGTAGATATTACTATTACTTCTTTGTAGATTTCTTTCTTCTTTTTTTTTTTGAGTTGGAGTCTCACTCCATCGCGCAGACAGGAGTGCAGTGGCATGCTCCTCGCCACTGCAGCCTCGACCTGCTGGGCTCCAGCAATCCTTCCGCCTCAGCCTTCCAAATAGCTGGAACTACAGGCGCACGCTACCACACCCGGTTAATGTAGATTTCTTTTTAAGGCTCACAGAAATTAAGCAACTTGCCTAAGTTTACTAAGCCGTTCAGTGGTACAGCCAGAATTTGACCTCAAGTCTTTCTTTTTTTTTTTCTTTTAGTAACCCTAAGCCTTTCTAATACCAACTGCCCATGCTCTTTCCAATATACTGTGATACCTCTCTACAAATATAAAATTTGACAATTAATGAGGGCTTTCTCTATTCCAGAAATGGTACTGAAGTATCTTATTTATATTACCTCATTTAACTTTCACAAAACCCTACTAGGTACATATAACCCATATTTTATAAATGAAGAAAAAAATTAGTTTCAAAAAGCTTAAGCAGCTTGCCCAAGGTTAGCCAAGTCAATCTGGCTTCTTCTTTGACACTGACCATTTTCCCATATTGACTGACTATATATAATACAGTATCCCTAAAATCAAAGTTAGAAACAGTCTCCTAGAAAATGGAGAAACTTGGTAAAATGAAAGAAGAAAGACATTCAGAAATCAGTAGGTTTGTATTGCTGGCTCAGAGAATAGAGTCATGTACTAGGTATATGATAAAGAAAAACAAAATGGATCCTGACCTCAAAATCTCACAACACAATAAAGAAGAAACATGCAAATATCTAACAAAGAATAAACTATTATAATATTTTGTATAAGTACACTGAAAAAGAGGTCAAAAACTGTGGCAATAGGTTATTAGAAAATAAATTTGAAAAAAATTAGAAAAATGGACAAGGGATTATTAGAAAATTCTGGAAACAAGTCTAGGATTATTCATACATGTAGATAGTGGTAATTAAATAGTAAATGGAGTGTGTATACATATCATAGTCATAACCTCCATTACAAATTTTTTAGTACAAAATGTTTAAACAGTAGAAAAACAGTAGTCTCTTAGAAAAAAGCATTTTCTATACTCCCAAAACAACTCCTTGGAACAGTTTCAATTCTCTGTAACCTTGGTGATTATAGGATGTATCATAGGACTAATTATATCTAACAGTAAGACAATCAAATAAGTGAAAGTTCCTTAAGCAGCTACTGGAGAGGGGCTACAATTAATAATAATGACAGCTACCATTTACTGAACACTTGCTACATGTCAGGCAGTTTTGATGGAAGTAGGAAATACCCTAATTTTATAAAAAAGAATGAGACTCAATAATCTAATTAATTTGTCCAAGGTTATACACAATTAGTTAAGTGGCAGCACTGAGTTTCTATTTTTTTTTTTGAGTTGGAGTCTCACTCTGTCGCCCAGACTGGAGTGCAGTGCCTGCTCCTGGCCAACGCAGCCTCAACAATCCTTCCGCCTCAGCCTTCCAAGTAGCTGGAATTACAGGCATGCACTACCACGCCTGGCTAATTTTTTGATTTATTGTAGAGATGAGGTCTCACCAAGTTGCCCAAGCGGGTCTTGAACCCGCGGGCTCAGGCAATCCACTCACCTCAGCCTCCCAAGGCGCAGGATTACAGGCTGAGCCACTGAGCCTGGCTAGCACTGAGTTTCAAACCTAGATCTAACAATACAAAGTCCACATTCTACTACACAGTCTGCCTCTCCAAGAATATTAATTTTCTGTGCATATAGCTATCTGAATGGGATAATATACAATCTAGCATTTTTTTATGGAGCCTGACAGACTTACATATGATTACTGAATATATGCATCTATCACTCATAAAATACTAAAGTAGGGGAGAGAGGGAGAGGAAGGGGGAAGGGAGAGATACTACAGAGCCCTTTAAGTTGCACGTTTGGCTGTTAGAGACACAGTGCCCAGCCTGATAAACCTAAAGAAGCAGTGAACTTAGCGTGATGTTATGAAAAACATAGATGCTGCCAGCCCTGGACAGCAGAAATCACTATAGTATCAAATGGTTTTAGCCTTCACCTTTAAATATAAGTCTGATTATATGATAGACTACAGAAGTATGTTTTCAAACATGAACTTATATAGTCATGAACCCTATATCACTTTCCAGAAGAAAGTCTCAGTCTCTCTCCCCATCCTACCTTAGATAGACATACAGAGGTGCATACATATATGTTTGTGCATATGTATGTGTTTGTATGAATATATGTATACCTCTATCCATTTTATCATTTAGTACTACAAAAAGAAATATAAAACTGTATAAAGCTGCCAGAAGGTCTTTAAAAAAGATTGCTTTTGAAGGGACATGTTACCCAGCATAATGAACCCCAAGATACAGGATTTACTCTGTTTATATACAAAACTCAACATCAGCCAGGCACAGTGGCTCAAGCCTGTAATCCCAGCACTTTGGGAAGCCGAGGTGACAGGATTGCCTGAGCTCAGGGATTCGAGACCAGCCTGGGCAACTTGGTGAGACCTCGTCTTGACAATAAGTCAAAAAACAAGCCAGGCGTGGTAGTGCATGCATGTAGTTCCAGCTACTTGGAAGGCTGAGGCGGAAGGATCACCTGAGCCCAGCAGGTCGAGGCTGCAGTGGTCGTGTGTGTGCCACTGCACTCCAGCTTGGGTGACAGAGTGAGACTCTGACTCAAAAACAAAAACAAAATTCAACATCTCTTCTAGATGGGGCTTTCCTCAGTCTTCCCTGGGATTAATTTCCTCACATACCCAAGTCAATGGATCATTTATTATATAGTTTTTTCATGTATGTCTCCATTAAATGGTCTCTGCAATGAACCTTGTCACTCAACTATATTTTTCTCAACTGAGGCATATATAATGAAATCTTTTGCAATCTCCCCTTTTTCTTTTCTCACTATCTTCATTAAATATCTTAAATAGATGCACAGTACTAGAAACAATGAAATGTAATGGAAGAAATACTTTGAGGAAATCCATGTTGCCTTGAGGCTAATGCCGTGTGGCTATTTTTCTCTTTTATTTCTCACCTCTATCACCAACTGACTCCTGGTCAATAGGCTCACAGTTTTTTTCTGTACTCCAAGTGCTGCCATCATCTTGGCTGATGACCACATCCAAGTAGATAGCCGACCTAAGCAACAACTTAGTCTCACAGTTCCTTGGCCTCTTCAAACAATGACCTTGGCCTCCACTCATTCCCAGCCACCTATTTTCATGGCCATAGCCCAGAACTGTTCCATTCTAGAAACCTTAAATTGAAATGTCCTACTTTGTTGTGAAAAGATATACTCCAAGGTGTTAATAGCGGGTGCAGTGGCTCAAGCCTGTAATCCCAGCACTTTGGGAGGCCGAGGTGAGGGGATTGCCTGAGTCCACAGGTTCGAGAATAGCCTGGGCAACTTGACGAGACCTCATCTCCACGATAAATCAAAAAATTAGTTGGGCGTGGTAGCTCACACCTATAGTTCCAGCCACTTGGAAGGCTGAGGCAGAAGGATTGCCTGAGCGCAGCAGGTCGACGCTGGGGTGGCCGTAAGTGTGCCACTGCACTTCAGCCTGAGTGACAGAGTGAAATTCCAACTAAAAAAAAAAAAGAAAAATAGCGGCTGCCTTGATAGGCCAAATTACATGTGTTCTAAATGTTAGCTTTGGTCATATTTTGATTTTTGTGAGGGAAATTTCTTTTGCATTAAGAAAAAGAGAAACTTTTATCACCTTGATAACAACTGCTTATTCTTTCAAGTATCCGATTCCCCCACACCCAGTAAAATCCTTTTTCAGTCTCATCAAGACCTCTAAACTTTGACCTCTTCCTGTTGGGTTAGGTGCTGTTCTTCCACGCAACTACAGCTTGCATTCAGTGCTTACCTCTATCATGATCTATATCTCACTGTGTTGTAATTATTGTTTAACTTATTGATTTCCTTTATATTCCAAGTTTTTTGGAATCAAGCAACAATTTTTGAGACTCTGTACCTACAGTACCTAACTCAGTGAGACTGACTTAAACACAAGTTTCTGAATGAATGAATAAAGAAATAGCATTGATCTACAGGAGTCTGACTTTGATTCAAATTTTAGTTCTGCCACTTAAATTCCGTATGACACTGGGAAAGTCAGTCAATTTCTGTGAATCTGTTTTCTTATCTGTAAAAAGGGGTAATAATCCTTGTCCTATCTACTTTATAGAGTTGTCAGGATGCTTAAATAATATATAATAAATGTTAGGTATATGAATTATTGCTTGTTCAAACTGACTAAAACACAAAATCTCATTTCCTTGAGTTACTCTCCTTGGTTCACTGGAATCACCCTTTTATTGCTACCTAACATTAATAGTTTCAAAGCTGACTAACCCTTAATTGCTCCTGATCATTTACCCTTTGATTCTCCTAAAGAAGATAAGGCACAGTCAGGGATATCTGTTGTCCCAATACTGAACCCATTCCTTTCAGAATGAACAAATAATTATTCAAACATGGAGAAAGGCTTCCCAAGTGCTTCCGGGATAATGTTTAAAGCACTCTAATTTGTTATGTCTCCACCAACTCCAAGAAAGGACAGATAAGGGATCAGAGAATTACTAAAAGGGAATGGAAATCAGGTGTAGTGGTTCACACCTGTAATCCCAGCACTTTGGGAGGCTAAGGTGGGCAGATTGCTTGAGCCCAGGAATTCGAGACCAGCCTGGGCAATATAGCAAAACCTCGTCTTTACAAAAAATAAAAAAAATTAACTGGGCGTGGTGGTGCACACATGTAGTCCCAACTACTTAGGATGCTGAGGTGGAAGGATCACCTAAGCCCAGGTTGCTGCCATGAGCAGTGATCATTGTGATCATGCCACTGCACCCCACCCTGGGCTACAGAGTAAGACACTGACTCAAGCCTGTAATCCCAGCACTTTGGGAGGCCGAGGTGAGGGGATTGCCTGAGTCCATGGGTTCAAGAATAGCCTGGGCAACCTGGCGAGACCTCATCTCTATGATAAATCAAAAAATTAGTTGGGCATGGTAGCTCATGCCTGTAGTTCCAGCTACTTGGAAGGCTGAGGCAGAAGGATCACCTGAGTGCAGCAGGTCAATGCTGGGGTGGCCGTGAGTGTGCCACTGCACTCCAGCCTGAGTGAATAGGAATGGAGAGTGAACCGTCACTCTTATAAATCTGGACTACAAATACATCAATCAAAAGACCTCTAAACCAACCTAATAAAAATGTACCCAAATAAGACCAGCACTAGGAGTTGATCTTTATTTTATTTGTTAGGAGATCCAGAATCAAATAAAGACCTATTTCAGTGGTTCTGAAACTTATCCGCATAAGGAGTCACCTGGGATTTTAAAAATATTTCTAAGCCTAGGTCACACCTGTTACGTACAGAATTGTGTTCCTCAAAATTAATATGTTAAAGTCCTAACCTTCAATGTGACTGTATTTGGGGGTAGGGTTTTAAGGGGGTAATGAGGGTTAAGTAAGGTCATAAGAGTGGGGCCCTAATCTGATAGGACTGTTGTCCTTATAAAAAGACACACACTGGAGCCAGGTGCAAGTAGTGTGTCCCTGTAGTCCCAGCTACTTGGGAGGCTGAGACAGGAGGACTGCTTGAGTTCAGGAGTTTGAGGCTACAGTAAGCTGTAACTGTACCTGTGAATAGCCACTGTACTGCAGCCTGGGCCACATAGCAAGATCTTCTCTCTTAAAAGTTTTTTTTCAATAAAAATAAAAGGAGACATCAGAGATCTCTCTCTTCCCAAGCATATACATAGAAAAAGTCATGTAAGGACATAGCAACAAGGTGGTAGTCTGCAAGTCAGAAAGAGAAAGCTCACCAAAAACCAACTCTGACCTTGATCTTGGACTTCCAGCCTCCTGAACTGTGAGAAAATAAATCTCTGCTGTGTATGCCATCTAGTCTGTGGTGATAGACCAGACCAATTAAATCACAGCCTCTTAGAGTAAGACACAGACGTCAGTATTTTGGAGGCCCTTGGGTGATCTAATGTCTGCTCAGGTAAATTTGGGAACCAAAGTCTTCTTTATTTCAACTCTGAACTGTGATGGACTTAGGCTTTTCTTTCCTGTCATTAGATTTATAGAAAAATAAGAATAAATTTAAAACCTGCCTCAAAAATCATCTGGAAGGTTGTTATCCCTGATACGTCCTGAGAATAGCTGCCTTCCTCTGAAGTCCAAGTCAGCTTTGCAGAGAGTCCAGGCAATATAGACTGTATTTCTGTGTGAAAAGAAATGGCAACAAAGTAGAACCAGCAGCTTGGATAAGTACCAGAATTTCTGGATTTGTTTATTAAACTGATGAGCCAAGAAAGCTTTTTTCTGATGAAAAGATTATCTGCAAAATTTAAAATATGACTGGGAATTGCTATGCATCAGCAAATTGCTTAAACACTTAAAATACCTTATGGGGTTGAAACATTTAATCTCATCTTTTCCATTTTTCACATTTGCTAAATCAATTTTTTTTTTCAGTTAATTTCCACAAGGTCATGTCCAGTACCTGAAATTGTCAGAACTGATAGTTCAAACTGATATTCTTGTATTTTTAAATAAATTGATTCATTATTTAAAGAACACAAATCCAGTAAATAAACTAATTTAGAGCTGAAAGCTGAAAGTTCAAGAATGATTTTTTCAGGCATGTACCTAATATAGTATGTTCTCTAATGAAGTAATCTTTAATAAAGGAAATAAACTCTTGTCATTTTAATTTGTGAATTAACCACTAAGTGATTTATATGTGTTGACTCAGAACTATCTTTCTACAAAGTATCAGTGAGTCCTGGATCATACACAACAAAGAGAACATCAAAGTACGTACCATCCTTCTTCTCTATATCTTGGCACTCATAAACAAATAAAACCTTCCATTTTATAAAATGCCATTCCTTATTTCCTCTCTATATTAGTATAATAATGGAGGACTTAATAAGAATAGAGATAGGCATCTTAGTGTCTGTAAGATTTGCTTTGTAAATGAGGTTCACAATGTTGGTATCATATAAGAATTCAACTTTAGCTGGGCTCAGTGGCTCAGCCTGTAACCCCGCGCCTTTGGGAGGCTGAGGTCAGTGGATTGCCTGAGCCTGCGGGTTCAAGACCCGCCTGGGCAGCGAGACCTCATCTCTACAATAAATCAAAAAATCAGCCGGGCGTGGTAGCGCATGCCTGTAATTCCGGCTACTTGGAAGGCTGAGGCGGAAGGATCGCTGGAGCCCAGCAGATTGAGGCTGCGGTAGCCGGAGTGGCCACTGCACTCCAGTCTGGGCGACAGAGTGAGACTCCAACTCAAAAAAAAAAAAAAAAAAGAGAATTCAACTTTAAAAACCTGATAATGATAAAATATATCCTAAAATAACAACATAAATTTCTACTAAGGCATTCATACTACATACCTAATAATGCTTTTGCCGTCTCGCATGGATAGTCCCAAGATCAAGATCTAGCTATCAGTCTTAAGGGGTAATATTTTTCTTGCCATTAGTTTGTTTTTCAAATCTAATTCAGTCACAAAGCCCTGGATAATATGGCAGCAAAGTTATGCTATACTGAAGTTTAATGAACTTGGCACTGAACCAGGATGCCTTGCGTCAATCTTCCGTTTTATCACTGATCAACTTTCTGACCTAAGGCAACCAACCCCCTTTTTCTGTTATTCAATTACCTTCCTTGAAATAAGAAAAAAAATTGTACCCGAATCCTATTTTTCTTTGAATTAGTAAGATAACACAGAAGTGGGGTAAATATGGATACATGAGAAAAAGTTTGTAAATAGCTTTGAATTCTTCAGAAATCTTAATAATAATTTAAAATAAATTAGATAGCTATTTGAGGGGAAAGTCAATTTTAATTATCTCACTCCATACACATACACACACAAATCCAGACAGACTAACTAGAGTTAAATGTAAAAAGGTAAAACAATAGAATTCAATAAAAGCCTTGTATTTCTTTCTTTCTTTTTTTTTTTTTTTGAGTTGGAGTCTCACTCTGTCACCCAGACTGGAGTACAGTGGCCACTCCCGGCCACCGCAGCCTCGACCTGCTGGGCTCCGGCGATCCTTCCGCCTCAGCCGTCCAAGTAGCTGGAACTACAGGCGCACGCTACCACGTCCGGCTTATTTTGATTTATTGTAGAGATGAGGTCTCGCCAAGTTGCCCAGGCGGGTCTCGAACCGCGGGCTCAGACAATCCACTTTCCTCAGCCTCCCAAAGGTGCGGGATTACAGGCTGAACCACCAAACAACAAATCAAAATTAGCTGAGTGTGGTAGCGCGCGCCTGTAGTTCTGGCTACTTGGAAGGCTGAGGCAGAAGGATCGCCGTATCCCAGCAAGCCCAGGCTGCGGTGGCTGGGAGTGTGCCACTGCACTCCAGTCTGGGCGACAAAATGAGACTCCAACTCAAAAAAAAATAAAAAGAAAAAAACAACAATAACAAAAAAGAAAGCGAGAGAGAGAATCCACAATGGTAAACAAAGACTATAAAGATGTATGCTATTTGGGCCTAGACTTGGGGGGAAAAAAACTATGAAACTAATATTATAACACTCACAGGTTCAAGGACAAGAGCCACATGGACCACACATAGGAGGTCTAAGCAAGGGACCAAAACAAGAACAAAGACTAGAGATGTACCACCTGTCTACCTGAATATTGGTTACAGGCAAGGAATTCTGGTAGCAGCTTCACTGATATGTGATAAGACCATTAGAGCCATTTCATATAAGTGGTGACAGGTCTCAGAACTATGTAATGTATGAAAATGCAGAAGCTTTGCATTTTATCATTCATGCAATGTTTAATCCAAGATATACACCATACAAAGCTGGGGCTCAGAACCCAGAGAGCCTCTTACTGGACCGCTGAGCTGTCAATACAAGATGTATTCTGGTTAAATAGATCATGGACAATTAGCTCTTAGGTAAAAATTGCCAAACAATGAAGATCAACACCATGAAAACTATGACACATATCAACCAACAGCACTTACACCTGAGGAAAAGAGTTAATAGAACAATCTTAGAAAGAACTAGAAATAAGCATGTATATTTTATACCTTCAAAAAGAAAAAGAAGGCATAAAATAAGAATACAATGTCATAAATTAAATAGGAAATAATGGAGAAAACCCTATTAGAAATATTTGAAATTAAAGATAAGTGTTTGAAATTAAAACTCTGAAAGGCTGAGGTGGAAGGATCGCCTGAGCTCAGCAGGTCGAGGCTGTGGTGCCCATGAGCGTGCCACTGCATTCCAACCTGGCCGACAGAGTGAGACTCTGATTAAAAAAAAAAAAAAGAATTAAGCCGGGCTTGGTGGCTCAGCCTGTAATCCTGCGCCTTTGGGAGGCTGAGGTGAGTGGATTGCCTGAGCCCGCGGGTTCGAGACCCGCCTGGGCAGCGAGACCTCATCTCTACAATAAATCAAAAAATAAGCTGGGCGTGGTAGTGCATGCCTGTAATTCCGGTTACTTGGAAGGCTGAGGCGGAAGGATCGCTGGAGCCCAGCAGGTCGAGGCTGCGGTGGCCGGGAGCAGCCACTGCACTCCAGTCTGGGCGACAGAGTGCGACTCCAACTCAAAAAAAAAAAAAAGA